TTATATATAGATTATATATTATTATAAACATTGGAGATATTTATATCTCCAATATAAAGTTCCACAGAGAAATTTTTAAAATAATTTAGTAGTAAGAGCTGTTTTGCCTGAGAAACTTGGTATGATTCCCCCTTTCTGGTAAGAACTCTACTACAGAAATGAATTTCTCTTTTTATCCTGTCAAGCAGGAAGCTCAAAGCCAAATTTTAAGCTTAGTCAGACACTAATTTTTACCAGTATATTGACATATTTGTCCAAATTTTCTTATTTTTTTGATCCTAATAGTCTCTGAATATACTTTTATATCTTGATACTTCAATGTACATGTCTTATAAGTTGCCTCCAAGAGAGGATTCAAATTAGGACCCATTATGTACCCAGAGTTCTATGGCAACAGTGATTATTTTTTTTAATGAACAATGCTCACAAACATTAAGTATGCTCATTATTCATTCAAAGCAATACTATTCAAAATTCTTGGGTAATAAAAATCCTGGAAGACAACACAGGCAGGAGTTTCTCTGACACTGGCCATATCCACATTTTTCTAGGCAAGTCTCCTGAGACAAGGGAAACAAAGGCAAAAATAAGCTATGAGGACTACAACAAAATAAAAAGCTTCTTTGTGCACAGTGAGGAAACAATCAACAAAACTAAAAAATAGCCTACTGAATGGGAGAAGATATTTGCAAATGACATATCCAATAAAGGGTTAGTATCCAAAATATATATACAATACCAAAAAAAAACAAATAATCCAATTTAAAAAATGGGAAGAAGACATGAAACAAACAGGTCTCCAAAGAAGAGATCCAGATGGCTAAAAGACACATGAAAAGATGCTCAACATCACTCATCATCACGGAAATGTTAGTCAAAATCACAGTATCACATCACCTGTCAGAATGGCAAAAACCATAAACACATGAAACAAGTGTTGGTGAGGACGTGGAGAAAAAGGAACACTTGTGCACTGCTGGTGGGAATGCAAATTGGTACATCCTCTGTGGAAAACAGTATGGAGGTTCCTCAGAAAATAAAAATAGAACTACCCTATGACCCAGTAATTCCACTACTGGGTATTTACCCAAAGAATATGAAAACACTAATCTGAAAAGATGTATGCACCCCTATGTGTCCTGCAGCATTATTTACAATAGCTGAGCCATGGAAGCAGCCCAAGTGTCTACTGATAGATGAGTGGATAAAGAAGATGTGTTATAGGTGCCTGGGTGGCTCACTCGGTTGGGCGTCCGACTTTGGCTCAGGTCACGATCTCACAGCTTGTGGGTTCAAATCTCACGTCGGGGTCTGCGCTGACAGCTCAGAGCCTGGGGCCTGCTTCAGGTTCTGTGTCTCCCTCTCTCTCTGCCCCTCCCTGGCTTCCGCTGTCTCTCTCGAAAATAAACATCAAAAAAAAAAATTAAGGATGTGCTATAGATATACAATGGAATAGTACTGATGTATAAAAAAAGAATGAAAGCTTGCCATTTGCAACGACAAGCACAGAGTTGGGAGAGTATAGTGGTAAGCGAAATAAGTCGGTCAGAAAAAGACAAATACCCTATGATTTCATTCCTATGTGGAATTTAAGACACAAAACAAAGGAGGCTACAGGGAAAAAAGAGACAAACCAAGAAGGCGACTCACAACTATAGAGAACAAACTGGTGGTTGCCTGAGGGAAGGTGGTGGAGAGAGGGGTGAAATAGGTGAAGGGGATTAAGAGTACCCTTATCTTCATGAGCACTGAATAATGTACAGAATTGCTGAATCACTGTATTGTACACCTGAAACTAATGTAACACTGTATATCAAGTAAATGGGATTTAAATTTTTAAATAAATTTGTTTACAAATTCTTGGGCTAAAATAAAATCAAAAATAGGGCGCCTGGGTGGCTCTGCCCATTGAGCGACTTCGGCTCAGGTCATGACCTCAGGGTTCCTGGGTTCAGGTCCCGCATGGGGCTCCGCGCTGACCGCTGGGAGCCTAGAACCTGGAGCCTGCTTCGGATTCGGAGTCTCCCTTTCTCTCTGCCCCTCCCCCATTAGTGCTCTCTGTATCTTAAAAATAAAAAATAAACATTAAAAAAGATAAAAAATAAATTAAAAATAAAAATTCTTGGACAAATCAGGCCACACTTACTGAAAAACAAATTATACAATGTACAAATAAAATTATACAATATTACCAGTTAGAAAGTACACCGTGCCTCTTTACCTGAAGAATATTCAAATCAAGATTCATACGCAAATTTACCTTGAAGAAATTAGAATCTCCTCCCAAATTCTGAGGTTTCACTGCAGATACTTGACTGCTACTTAATCTTGGTGGTACGAACAATTTAAAAGGCTTTTGCTTTTCCATTTTCTCTCTTCCAGTTGTAATTATCTGTTGCCCCAGCGGGCGGGGTGGAGGGAGGGAAAGCGTTTTACATGGTTTCATTAATACCCTCTTTATTTTAAAAGGCGACGTTTGTACAATAAATGCTGTGTCAAGGAGCAGGTGTACCCTTTGCTACAATGTGAGTCTGCAGCGTCACATCACTGGGCAAAGTAAAAACACCCCGCAGTTGTTCCCTTCCACCCCCCACCGCCAATGGCCACGCTGGCAGCGTAGATAAGCCAGAAACTCCCACCCCTGAAAAGAAAGCTCTGCCCCCCACCGGCCCTGGTAAATTGCATCACCCAGCCGCGAGAACTACCTTAGGTTCTTAGGGGGCTACAGCTACCAACGAGGCGCCGGGGGGTGGGGGGTGGGGGGTGGGGGGCGGCCAGAATCAAAATATCGCCCAGCTCCGGGTTCGTTCGGCAGGAAAAGAACTCAGTACACCTGCCCTTACCTCTGAATAGTCAGCGGGAAACCGTGGACTCGGTGCCCACGCGAAGTGCTACCCGCTGTCTACTAGGGCGGCAAAAAGAATCTACGAGAACTTCTGCCTCCGAACCTCCAGAAAAGTAAGAAATCGCTCCGCCTCAGCGGCCGGCCGAAAAGGGCCGGGTGCACAACGGTTTAACGGCTAAATAACGGTCAACCGCGACCGTTGGCCGGCTCCCGATTCTCGCGAGATTTTCCTTTGTGTCGGTAACAATTCTTCTCTGGGTTCTGTTTTTCCTTAGACATTCTTGAAGCTTGTGCGATTGTCAGAGAATGCAAGGAAGACTATAGCAAGTCCCATGACAGATTGGAGCGAAGAATAAAAAATCCTCTTGTGTCTTCCGAGAGTTCAGTCAGGGCAAAAAACAGATGGGCAAACAGTTGTAGCCACGTGTAATCATTTAAAGGTGGTAATTTTCAAAGACTGGTTAGGACACAGGGAAAGCGGTACTTTCAGTGGCCTGGGGAGTCAGGAGAGGCTGCCCAGATGTGATAGGCTTCTTTTAAGGCTTCTGTCAAGAATAGAGTGACTATAGACAGATTGGGCTAGTCAATGGGGAAAGACTACTCCTGAAGGTAGGCGAAGGCCCTGTGGTTGTGAAAGAGATTAGTACAAGAGAGACTCCAACAAGTGTGGCGTAGGTGTGTGAGGACAAGGTCGGGGAATGGCAAGAAGGAGACTGCAGGCTTGACAGATAAGGCCTTGCAAAGACCTTTGGATTTTAGCCTCTGTGGATGGGGAACTTGTAGAATTCTGAGTGGAGAGGGAGGCAAGATCAAGTTCAGAAGAAAATTTGTAGTATGAGAAATGGTTTAGGCAGGCATTGGGACTTGAGTTAGGGAGACAGTTTTAATAGGCTGGGTGAAGTATGAGGACCTGAGCCATGACAGTGGCGCTGGAGATGAGGAAGAGGCATCAAAAGTAAAAGGTATTTAGAAGTAAAATTAATAGGAGTTGATGGGCTGTTTTAACAGTAAGCAGTGAAAGAGAGAAGTCTAAGATGACTTCCTAGTTTCAGACTTGGGCAAGTAACTGTAATAAATATTATGATTCTAAGTACCTAGGTTTGAGCAATTAGATGAGTTCCGTTCCGTTTTGACCACATTTGACTTTGTTTTCTAATGTCTATAATTGATGTTTTTCCAAAGGACTTAAGTAATATTTTTAAATAACCAATTTTGTTTTGTGTAAATTTAATGAGACATCATAGTTTCTGCTAGAATTTAAAAATTTTTTGAGCTTTGAAAGAGATGAGCCAGGTTGTCCTTCATTTTACACTTTAAGGAAATTGAGTCTAGATACCCTAAAAAAAGAATATTACCTCCAAGAGATGATTCCAGGTCTATGCCCAAGATACTCCCCCCCCCCCGGGGGACAATAATTAATACATTTAAATAAGATCATTTTGAAGTTGAGGATATAAATTCAACTATGTCTTTTTTTTTTTAAGTTTTATAAACGTGAAAAATTTAACTATGGGCTTTTTTTTTTTCATCGAAAACCAAACTGCTGCTACTCCTGCTATCAAATTAACTTAAATTCACAGTATTGAAAGACTTACACCCAGTCTTTCAAAATAATACCACCACAGAATTTATTAATTTCATGTATTTCATATGAAATTTATTTTTACTAGATAGCCTTCCTATCCTTACAAGGATTAAAATATTTGTGGGAAGATTTCAGTTTTTAAGAACTTCATTTTTTTCTACAAAAGATATTGGCAAAAATGTCAAAGTATTGTCTGCCAGAATAAGCAGTAAATCGTGCCAGTATTTCCCAATATGTGTTAAAACATTTTAGGGGCGCCTGGGTGGCTCAGTCGGTTAA